TTGCCTCTTCCGACGTAGAAATCATCTGAATCTTCTTTCTACCTCTCTTTCTTTTCACACCACGCATAATGTAATGATAAAAATTAGGAAAAAACGCTGAGGAAATATAATGTTTGGTTTGCTAGCGAGCGATAACTGATTTGAGAATAATTGCACATGCGCGTGAATTGAATGAACCGTACAATCTCGATTTGCATATTGTCAATCAAAGGTCCTGTTATTTGATTACTCATGCAAATTAGGCAATTGGACATAAACATTGCCACGTGAGAGTGTTTTTTATTTTTAATCAGAAAATAACCAGCAATTTTAACGGTGTTCTAATAAGAATTCATTGGTCAAATTTTCACAGAATGTTCTTTAGATAAAAATCTATATAAAAAAGGAAAAAAACTATTTTTGATTGAAATTCACAAATAAACTGCATCTCTACCTTAAATAGGTACATGCCATTTTAGCTAATTTGACTCCATGCATGAATTAACTGAATCTTAATTTAATTAAAGTGTCAACAATTACATTGTAAGAATATACTTTATTTTAAATTAGTGACTTCTTGAATTAGCGAAATTACAGATTAGCTGAAATAACATGCTAGCTAAAAAGACATGTTTTACAGTATTCACTGGATTTTATTGTAACTGATTTATTCCTTCAGTAAATTAGCAAAAGTAAATTCTAAGTGAAAATAAGGTAAAATTACAGTACAATGTTCTCGCTAGATGGTATACAATTGTAACTAGTTTCCAATCAAAATCATATTTAACAAAAAAAATTAATAAAATTTGAGTAAAAGTAGTTTTGATATTCAATGTTTAATTACTTGTATGACATGTTTTACGTTCCAGACAGGCCAAAACTGGCTACTATTACCGATAAATCCCATTATCAACAGCAGTTAGAATTTTATCCAAAGATGCAACACAAAACCGCCCCTTTTGAGGCTGTCTCTCTCGTAACAAGAAGATCTTGATAACCTCATTGTCAAACAAGAATTATATGCAATAATTTGAATGTGTTTATTGAAGCAAATTTAGTGTCATGTGACTTCATTTATTTCAGACGAATAACGAGCCAGTATTACGAAGAGTACATGTTGATAAAACTACAAGGAGAGTACGTCAAGCGCTATCCAGTGTCTCATGGGTGAGTGACAACTGAACGTTCATATCTAAGACAATGCATGGAATACAGTAGAATTCTGTATGTTATACCTGTTTCACGCAGATTAGATTAGAACACTGGTGTTCGCATTGTCTCTACAACGGTGTATTTCGTTTGCGATCACACAACATTAAAAACACCAACATAATTTTATATTAGGCCTGTGTAGCACCCCCTCTGTAGTATGATCTGTGTTTGAACATATTCGTACCCTATCACTACGATTTTAATTTTCATTTGCTCCCTTGAATCTTGACTTCAAAGGTTTTGCTCTTTGACGGCACAGTTCTGCGGGTTTATCTCGCCCCAATTCTTTGGCTTTTTGTGCAATCCTGTAAACCTGGCTATCATGGGAGGTTCCGTGTATCAATCTCAAAATACTTTCCTCTTGTCAAATAGAAATTAGTAGCAGGACTTCATTATTATACAATTATTCCGAGACTACTCGTTCCACTGACCAGAGCGGTATGTGTATCACTCACCGTCATGTTGTTGCTATGGACGTATACATGAATTTCCGATAGAGGGTGTTTGTGCCACTGTTTATGCCACTGTGCGTGTTCACATACACTTTTGTTCAGAATTTAGGTCTGAGCTCGGACTCTGGTCAGAAAGTTTATGCCGGTGTAAAATTCACCATTTTTACACCGGTGTAAACTGGTCACACGATAAAAATAACATCGTCGTTAAATTTACGGCGTGTGCTACAACGGCGTAAATGTTGCGTGTGAACCAGGTATTACATTGCATAGAATACAGTTGAATTCTGTATGTTACATTGCATGGAATACAGTAGAATTCTGTATGTTACATTGCATGGAATACAGTAGAATTCTGTATGTTACATTGCATGGAATACAGTAGAATTCTGTATGTTACATTGCATGGAATACAGTAGAATTCTGTATGTTACATTGCATGGAATACAGTAGAATTCTGTATGTTACATTGCATGGAATACAGTAGAATTCTGTATGTTACATTGCATGGAATACAGTAGAATTCTGTATGTTACATTGTCACAATATTGTGTGTGTTATGTATTCATCAAGTCAGTTAAAATGTTTTTGGGACAATTGTGTTATAGAATCTATTTGTTCTGGGTGGCAAAATAATGTAGTACTGTAAAATACTTTATTTTAGCTGGAATTTATTTTTGCTGAAAAGACTTTTTGGGTGTTTTGTATAGAATTTATTTTTACTGATTTTTGAAGAGTTGAATGTGAAATATAGGAAAAAAGGGATATTTGCTGAAATTTATTTTCACTAATTCAAAAATTAATTCCAACAAGCAAAAATAAAGTATTTTGAAGTAATCGTATAATCATTGATGCTGCATACATTTGTCCAATTTAAAGCAATTGTGATACAATACCACTTTACCTTGCAACCAGCTATTGACCTTGATGCCATATTTTACATAATTTAGTGTAATTTGTTGCATTCTGCATATAAAAAAAAAACAATTAATCCTATACCTGTAGTAATGGTAATGTTTACTCGTTATTGCAGGATCCTAAGTTAACACAGTGGTTACATATGACTTTAGTAGAACACCTGAGTACACCGTTATTGGCAGCGTATTTAGATGTATTGCAAACACTGAAATCTAAGGTATCTTGTATAGTTTTGTAAAGTACTAATAAACTTTATTTTGCTTTCATAAATTACAGTATTTGTTGCAACAATGTGTTGGATTATTTTCTAGCTCATAATTCTTCTTACAAGTTGACAAAGGTGTATAACAATAAAGCTAACTCAAAAGTGTACATAATGGGAGTCGTACATTATAGTATTCATGTCTTGACGACCCACAATGCCATATGCTAATCAGAAAATAAAGTACAAGCTGTAGAATTTACTTCAAATCTAATATGATATTGTGAAGAGACAATTATTATTATTTATACTCTTCAGCATGTGTGAAGTAACGCTAATTTTCTCTTGATTTCCATCTAATAAGTGAATGGGTAAATAGCTTAGAATGCTGTGGCCAAGAAGCGTGAACACATTACTCTTCTTTTGTATTAATATGCTTTTATTTGACGTCATAAGCACTGGGGAGAATTGCACAATTTTATTTCTACCAAGTTTAACATCAAACCGATCATGCTGATTCAGGACCAATGAAACACGTTAGAGTAAAACTATATCATCTAATAATGTCCAATAGTGACAATGACAATGTCCAATAGTGACAATGTGCAAATATGGGCAATGGTAGGGTGTAATACTACATCAAGGTGCTATGTGGTAGTGTTTGATTGGTTGAGTTATTTATTTTATTAGGTCCCATCTTTAATTGATAAAATGATCAGTTTAGCAACATCCAGATCAGGTACCAGTACTGAAGCACTTACGTTATTGTTAAAAAGACCATGGGATCCATCAATCAGTATGCTAACACAGCACAAACCAGTAAGTATTGAACATATACAGTTTATATGCTATTAGCAAATTTCTAGTTTTTGACTCCCATGTGCGAAGCACAAAATGGGAGTCTTTGCAGTTAGT